GATGAAGGGGCACAGTGCAGGGTTAGGGGCACAGGAGGGGGCAGGTGTTGGGGTGCAGGAGGAGTGCAGGGGTTGGGATGAAGGGGCACAGTGCAGGGTTAGGGGCACAGGAGGGGGCAGGTGTTGGGGTGCAGGAGGAGTGCAGGGGTTGGGATGAAGGGGCACAGTGCAGGGGTTGGGGCACAGGAGGGGGCAGAGGTTGGGGTGCAGGAGGGGGCAGAGGTTGGGAGTGAAGAGGGTGTGGGGATTAGGGGTGCAGGAGGGGGAACAGGCATTAGGGGCAAAGGGGCACCATGCACGGATTAGGGGCACAGGAGGGGGCAGCTGTTGGGGTGCAGGAGGAGTGCAGGGGTTAGGGGCACAGGAGAGGGCAGGTGTTGAGGTACAGGAGGGGGCAGAGGTTGGGAGTGAAGGGGGTGTAGGGATTAGGGGTGCAGGAGGGGGAACAGGCATTAAGGGCAAAGGGGCACAGTGCAGGGGTTGGGGGGAAGGGAGGGTGGGGAGCCTGGGGAGCCCACGGGGGCCAGGGGCAATGGGGAGTGCCACGCGCATGGGGGCCAGGGGCACCAAAATGCAAGTTCTCCCTGGGTGCCATTTTCCCTAAGGCTGGCCCTGTTCCAGAACAATGCAAAAGTTGGCCCCTGGGTTGCACACGGAGCCCTGCGGGATGGGAATGACTATTAAACCTCAACATCTCCCATAAAAGCCATTAAAAAAAAAAAAACAAGACTCAAACTTCGCAGCTTAGCTTAGGTACTAGGAGAGAATTTTTCTACCACAGTAGAAGTGAATTGGCTACAGCATTGCTGAATGATGATATCCTGATTAGAGAGGCATCCTCCACACCTCTCATCTGTATAGACACACACCCAAAGGCGTTAAGGACAATAACAGATTTGTCTAAACCAGGGTGCTCAGCTCAAAAAAGCTGAGGATTTCTACTAAAATGATCGGCAGTGAGATTAGCACTGACTCCTGATTGTCATCATTAGGCTTCAGCGTTAACAATGCATTGTGATGACTAGGCACAGTTCACACATCGCTGAGAAGTGTTAGAGAGCCTGTCACTATGCCATGACTGATGTCCCCAACTGCTTAACTGTCACGCAGGAGGATCTCAAAATTACAAACCACTTCACCCAGCACTAATACGCAGCCACTTCTGGAGTGGAATGCAGCTGCTAGCTAACAACAGCAGCAGCAATGCCATGAGGAAAACAGTATCTAAACCCACTGAATGTGCAGGAGGAAATTCCTGGGCTGCCGGAGGCACTCACCCACACTGGAATTTAGCCATGACACTGAGGTTCCCATAGCTATGCTTGTGAAACAGGCTGTGATCTTTAATGAGCACAATTGGTCAGCACCCCCATTTCCCTTCTCCCAACCCCTGCCCCTGAGCATTAGGCTGTCCTGCCTCGCCCTGACTGGTCCTTGGTACAGACCAGCGTCAGCCCTCCCCACACTGTCGATCCGAGAGGATCACAGCTGCCAAGTGGTGACACCAACAGGACAAATGGGTGCGGCACCGTTTCTCTTTGCAAGTCAGCTCTTCTGGACTCTGTCAGTGACAACCAAGGCAGGTCCCTGAACAATGGGCGTTTGCCGAATGCAAAGACAATGCTTGTAGCTTGTCAGTCAGCTCCATTGTGGTCCTGCAGCGGGGTTGTACAGAGACACAGACGTTAATAAAAAGCCACTTGTATCAGCTGGGAATCAAACCCAGGCCTGCCAAGGAACAGAGCAAGGTTCTACTGCTGAGCCACCAGCTAGACCAGACCTCAGCCGAGGGCTCACTGACATGAGCGAGGAGTACATTGCCTGTGGGAGACCCAGCATCTCCCACACCGGAGACAGCGCAGAGAAAGCGGATCCCTGTACAGCTTGGAAGCTCTTTGAAGCAGGGACTGTTTATTTTCAGTTTATCCCGTGTCCTGGGCCCCAGTCCTGGTCTGGCCACTCTTCTCCTATAAACCATAGCAACAGCTCCACGATTGGATCTAGACCAGGGACAGCAACGGTGGAGAATGTTTGCGAGGGGATTTAGCCAGGAATAATTGCCTGGGAAAGTCCCTGGGATTTTTAATGACAAATGCTCAGGGTTTTCATTTAGCTGAAGGCCACAGAGCAGAGCAGCACGCTGCCACGTGAATACGATGGGGAACCTACTCAATCAGCCAGGCCCGTGAGCACAGAACCTGCGTTTCCTTAGGGGCTAAAACAGCCCAAAGCTCTGGGCAAGCCTGGGTTCACAGCCGTGATGGAACAGAGCCAAGTTACAGGATAACAGCATGTGATGGCAACAGCCCTTAAAACTCCTGTAAGATTTCTACAGGGGAATAACAGGGGGTGAGAAATATCCCTAAAGAGGGACCTTTATTTTAAAAGATTGCAGTTCCCTTCCCGACTGCAGTTCAACAGGGCTGCAAAAGAGAAGGCAAAAAGAAAGACACAGCTGCATTGGCCGGGAATCGAACCCGGGCCTCCCGCGTGGCAGGCGAGAATTCTACCACTGAACCACCAATGCTCAGCCTGCCCAGAGCTTCCTCACAGCTGGCTGAACCCTCCAAAAAGTGGTGCTGGAAACCCCACCTGCATCTCCCCGTACAATTAGTGCATTGCCGCACCAGCAACAAGAGGCTGGCTGTGCCACAAGACCGCAGTGAGCCGCCCTCAGGGCGCCAGCAACTGGCCTGAGAGAGCAGCAGCAGCTCACGGCCCAGGACAGCACTGCAGAGGCTGCAAGCTGCCCCTCGGGCTGGCTGCTGGGTCCACCCAAGGAGCCGAGGGGAATCCACCGGGCTGTACCGGGAACCAGCTCGCTGCTCCCCTGAGCTCCTCTCACTGGCAGAGAACGTCGGGGGGGGGGGGGAGGGGCTCCTGCAGTAGGGAAATCAGACCCCCCAGGCAGCAAGCCCACTATCAGGCCAGGCCCCTTTGGAGGGCACTGGCCCCGCCCAGCATGTGCCCTGCAGCCCAGGGCCAGGGTCAGGCTCCTTCCAGACAGTACAGACACTAGAGGGCGCTCCAGTTCACTGCACCCCCCAGCAGCTGCACCCTAGAAGGGAACAGGCTGGGCCGTAAAGCGGCCGCCGGGCCGGGGTTAGGGCCGCAGGGAAGGGTAAAGCCCAGCAGTGAGCAGCGTGTGGCTGCAGGCTCCCTCCTCAGGCCTGGCTCTCTCCCATGCAGCTCTCACGGACTTCAAGGCTGCCCCCGCCCCAGGGCCTGACTCCAACAGTGCTGCCCCCTCCCCACCAGCCGCCCAGCACCCATTTGCTGGGGAGACCACCAGCCCCCCGAGATGTTCCTGCCGTGGGTGTGTCATTAATGGTGTTGGCTGCAGTAGTACCTGGAAATCGGGGCCCTGTCGTGCTAGGCGCTGTACAAACAGAGCAATAGAAAACCCCTGCTCTGAAGAGCAGCCAGACACACTGAGTGTGTGTGTGTGTGTGTGTGTGTGTGTGTGTGTGTGTGTGTGTGAGTTTGTGTGTGTGGCGGGGGGGGTGAGGGGGGTGCTCATGTGGGCCAGCTGCCATATCCACAGTACAGCGTGTGCATGCAGCCCATGCGGGTGCCAAGTGCACAGGGTGGGTCTGGCCCATAAACAGCATCTCAGCTCCCCCATCGCCCACGGCCTCCCCGGGCACAGCCCTGGTGCTGGGACCCTGTGGGGGGAAGAGCGGGAGGGGTTGAGCCCCCTTTGCCGGGGGCTGCTCCGTGTCTGGAGCCCAGTGCAGTGATCAAAACCCGCCTGCAGCCCCGTGGGGGAGGGAGGGGTAACATGGGATCTGCTATCTGGGGTGACGGGAAGCCCGGCCCCCCTCTGACGGGAGCCAAGGGAATGGGGTGAGGAGGGACTGAGGGGCCAGGAGCCCCAACGAATAACCTCACTGGGGGCCTCCCAACCCGCCAGCCACCCCAGGAGGACACAGCCACAGGTGGGCTGGGGCAGGCCTGCCCCTTTCCAGGCTGCCCGGTCACAGCAAGAGTCACCCCAGGGCAGCTCCTCACCTGGGGCTGGCCCCAGGGTCTGCCCTGGCTCCCCGCTTCACCCCGCCCTGCTGTTTGGCCCCCGGGCGGGTATTCGCTGAGCACTGCACGAGACACGGGAATCGAACCCAAAACGGGGGGGTCCTGGGGCCCCAGGAGGTTCCCCACCTGTTCGCAGTTCTCGTACTCAGCCAGCTGCTCAAAGAGGAGGCCAAGATCTCGGGTGTACTCCCAGGCCGGGTGCTTCTCCAGCAGCACAGCTTGGATCTTCAGCAGCACCTGGGTGTTCACATTGAACCACAGGAAGCGCAGGGATGGCTCGCTGACGTTCTGATCCCGCTGGGGAGCACGAGGGGACAAGGGTCACGCACGGCCACCCTCTGGGGGAACCTCCTAAGGGACTGCTGCCTGGAGAGCACCTGAGTCCACACCCAGCCCTGCCCCTGGCTGCTTTGCCATTTCCACTGCAGCCTCCAAGCGCTTCTGCTCAGCAAGTGCCCCCGGCTGGCATGTGCCTTGTTCTCTGCACTATCCGGATTCAGTGGCCCTGCTTGCCAGCTCGCTCCTGGGATCAGATCATCCCTAAGCCCTGGGGAAAGCCAGACCCAGACTTGGCAGCTGCCCCCAGATCCCGACCCTCCGGGCGTGAGCAAAATTCAGAACCCAACACCCCTGGCCTCTGCGAAGTTTGATTCCTCCTCAAAGCATCCCTCCCTCTCAACCCAGCATTTAACCTTCGCAGCTGCTCCCTAGCGGGAAACTGGGAGAACCGAGCCCTAGATGGCATCACCCTAGAAGTTCACGCTCCTCTGGGACTGTTCGATTCCTGCTTGGGGCCCAGTGAGAACGAGGGATAGCCACGGCTGATTGCCGAAGTGTCCTGGATGAAAAGCCCCAATGCCAAGGCCAGGTGTCAGATGCCATCCACGCCTGGCACAGATTTTCCTGACCCTTGCGGTACCTCCGCCAGCCCAGAGGCAGTGAGGGATTTCTAGAACGCATGGGCCTTGAGGCTGAGAACCAGGGTCTCGGCCAGATGAGCTAAGGGAGCAGTTGTTCAGAGCTCCCGTAGAAAGACCACGGAGCTGACAGCAGAGCTGTTCCCAGGTGAGCTGGGACACCGGGATGGTAAACAGCCTGAGGATGGACAGGGAGCACTGGACACCTTACCAGCCTGGTAATGTTGGCCGCCCTGAGAACCTCTTCAAACTGGACATTCACGGTGTAGTTGATGGGGAAATAGTGTTTCTGCAAAGGCAAGAAAAATAAAATCCTAGCAGCGAACTAAAAGCTTCTCTCTTCCCCAGATCCTCCTGGGCTGTGCCCCCATCAGCAACTGCTCCTGTCCCCTCCCCCTGCCTTGACGGGGAAGCGCGTACCCTGCTAGGCACCTGGGGCACGTTTCCTTGTGAGTAAACAAATACTGAAAACTAATTTGGGCTGTAACACCTGGAACAGGTGTGCAGCCGCCTAATGTCGTGACACTGTCACTATACGTCACGGGGACCTTCCTGCTCCAAAAGTCCCAACCACGTGAGCTAAAGGAGAATCGTCAGGAGCTGCCTGCAGTCTAGGGCCTGTGACACACAACTGGGCAGTTCTGACTCAAGGCAGCATTGCACAAGTCAGCTCAGCACCAGTTTGCTCTCCTCGGGGGCTGCAGCACCTTCTTGGATGTTTGAAAATGAGCGCCAAATAGTTCGCACTTGGGTACCTGGTCATGCACCTAAACCAGGGCTTGGAAATTAACCCACCGGCAGCCCCAGGAGGGACCCTGCTCAGCAGGGCAAACGTCGGCAGGAGCTGCTGGGGCTCTGCACTTTAGAAAACCAGGGCTTGGAGTTGGCGTCCAAGATGGGCAGTTAGCAGGTTGGCGTCGGGCTGCTCGTTTGGAAAATCTTGGCCCCGGAGAAGCCGAAGGGGGATGAAACAGGAGACGGTTCCAATTCCATGGCCCCCACCAAGCATTCAACGCGCTATGGGCAGAAAGGCAGAGGCCGCACGACTGCCAGAGACGCGTGTCTGGGCCTTTGGAAAGGGAGTCACAAATCAACCGGTAACGTAGCCTGAGCCTAGGGGCGAAGAATTACCATGTACTGGAGCCGTTGCTGATACGTCAGCTTGTTCTGGAGAGCCTCGATAATCCTGCATTCCTCCTGCACTGCAGCCTCCAGCCCCAGGACAGCCACGAAATCTGCAAATCACCGCCCCCACACCCGAGGGCGAACAAGAGGTGTAAGGCCATGCACCAGCTGGCTCCCGTCACACGCTGGGGGCCAGGGGGAACAGGCTTAGGCTGCAGAGCAGGGCTCGGGAGAGGAGGGCAATCGGTCAGGGTTTCGAAGCAGCAGCCTGGGGAGGGGAGGGCGAGACAACTGGCCCCACAGCTCAGGGTCATTTGAACGAAGGGGAGAGCGGAGAACATTCCCCCGCCCGGCTGCGTCCCTGAACAGTGCGTTGGGTCCCACCCGCTGGGCGCATGGACCAGCGCTGGGACTTCGGCCCTGGGTGGCTGTTATCCAGATCCTCCCTTCCATCCCTGCGTGGGCCCTCTGGCCATCCCGGCCTCTCTGGGGCAGCCCCCGCGGGGCCCACAGCAGGTCCGAGCGCGCCAGCCAGTGGGAGGCACAGCCATGGGCTGCCTGGGGAAAGGGGCTTGGCCTGGTGCTGTTGGGAGGGTGTTGGTCCTGGCGCTCTCCGAACCAGAACAGGGCCACAGGCGCGTCCCTCCCCCGCTCTGGATGTGACGGGGGAGCGAGCACCCCATCGTACTCACAGAGGAAGGGTGCGTAGCCCCGCTGCATGCTGATGGCGTGTGTCCGGGCAGCGAGCAGACGGACAATCCGGCCTACATGACAATGACTGCGTCAGCGGGAACGGCCTCCCACGTGCTGGGAGAGATTCCAGTGGATGCCCGGGACGCTGCTGCCAAGGAAGGCCCTGCAGGCTCCCTGCAGCCCCTGCTCTCTAGGGTGCCGTGCGTGTTCACTGCAATTGGGCAAAAAGCTGCTGCCAACCTGCTCCCATCGCAAGGTGCCAGGAGGAAGGAACAACCCAGACCCGGGTGAATGGCTGGAGGCGGCGGCTCCCCGAGGCTGGTGGGGGTGGGCAGTGCTAGTGTTCTCCTCCGTCTGCCCCTGAAGCCGGGCTCTGTAACGGGAGACGGGTGATAAACCACATGGAACCAATGAGAGGCCGGCGCACTGAGCGGGGGTAGAGCGCCTCGGAGCGCTGAACTCGGCTGTTCGCTAATAAACAGAGCCCCAGAGAGCTCTGCTGTGGGCCAGCTGCCCCCGGTGCTCACCTCCACCCACAGCTGGCTGCATTTCCGGGGCACTGTACATCGACGGGACCAATTTGTTTGACCTACTTCTACCAATCAAACCATTTTTGCCGGTCCCTCAGGTGGTGGCTTAGACAGATCTCAGCGCGCTAAGACCAAGGAGAAGCGCACAAACGACAAACGCTGTCTTTGACGGCTGGATGCCAGCTCCCGCTGTGATGCTCCGCACGTGCCTCATCACCCCAGATCCCCTAATGTCTGTGCCCAGGGCGAAATACCCCCCTGAACGCCCCACGGCAGAGATCCCCAAATGTTTGAGGGTCGTGCCCCTCCTTATCCCTGTCCGTGCCCTGCCAGAGCCGGGCCGCGGCTCGGGGGGTGGGGAGGGAGTAAAGGGGCCAAAGCTGGGGCTGGGGTGGGGCTGAGGCCGGGAATGGAGCTGCAGCCAACAGCCAAGGCTGGGGGCGGAGGTCGGGCCAGGAGCGTACATGCGCCGAGGCCGGGGACAGGGCCAGGTGCGGGGTTGGGGGTCAGGGACATGGCTCGGGGAAGGACAGGAGCAGAGCTGGGGGCAGGGAGGGGCTGGGTGGCGCTCCCTCCCCACCCCCGTGGGGGCTGGCCCAGGCCCCGCTGTGCCCCCAAAGATATAGCTCAGTGCCCCTCTAGGGGATCATGCCCCACAGTTTGGGGACCTCCGCCTCACGGATTTCCAGTGCAACATCTGCACTGGCGCCATTCGCACCCCGATCATACAGCAGAGATCTGTGCGGCTGATTAGAGCCAGGAGAAATCTGCCCTCGGTGGGTCCAGACACAAGCCTTGTTTTAATGCGCTATGTGGCCATGTGCAGCTGGGCACGTCTTCTCGGCAGCAGAAGGGCAGGGTAAGAGCAAAAATGTACAAATACACAACCGAGTCAGATGACCTAGATTAGCTAATGCTGTGTGATCTGGCCCTGAGCCAGAACTACTGGAGTGAGTTCCAGGGATGGGGCCTTTTGACCGGTGAGTGTCCAGAAAGGAAATCCCAGAAACAGGCAATATGCTAAGTGGAATCTATGCTACTGCTCCAAGGACCTGGTCTGGGAGGAGGTAGAACAAGCAGGATGCACCCCTCAACACCGGATACACTGTGACTTGCTTCCTTCCCCTAGCCACAGAATATCTGGACAGACAGATAACTCGGGAGCCTGACTGGCCACCGGGGAAGCCCTCCTACTAGTAACAGCCCGTTCGAAAACGGCCACGTTCTTTAACGGCCTTGCTGCTTCAGTCCATTGGTTACTAGAAAAGGCTGCAGTCATGACACCAAGTTCTCACAGCCTGTTGGACTGAGAGCTGGCAAAGTCCCATCCAGCGCCACCCTGCACGTGTCTGGATTGTCACTGGAATGACTTGGTCAATTTAAGCTACTCAGACAGGGCCCCTGGGCTACAGAAACGTGCGCCGGGCTCAATGGCTTCAACCACGTAACAGGGCATTTTCTTGTGGACAAACAACAAGTTTCTCATCCAGCCCAACAGCAGCGAGGATTGATCCCAAGTGACTGAGCGGAGTCCCTGAGCTGAGATCTTCAAACTTGTTCCATGCAATGTGAAAGCTGAGATAGTAGCTAGTTATTAGGTGGCTCAGTCCTGGGCATAGAGGAGTATGTGCCCTTCGGGCCGGATCAGAGCTCCAGTATAAAACTGCAGAAAAACCTGAGAGTCTCTGGATTAAGTTGAGAAGTGTGAGCAACAAGGGTGATGTCGTGGTTGGAGTCTGCTATAGACCACCAGACCAGGGGGATGAGGTGGACGAGGCTTTCTTCAGGCAACTAGCAGAAGTTACTAGATCGCAGGCCCTGGTTCTCATAGGGGACTTCAATCACCCTGATATCTGCTTGGAGAGCAGTGGTGCACACACAATCCAGGAAGTTTCTGGAAAGTGTAGGGGACAATTTCCTGGTGCAAGTGCTGGAGGAACCAACTAGGGGCAGAGCTCTTCTTGACCTGCTGCTTACAAACCGGGAAGAAATAGTAGGGGAAGCAAAAGTGGATGGGAACCTGGGAGGCAGTGATCATGAGATGGTTGAGTTCAGGATCCTGACACAAAGAAGAAAGGAGAGCAGCAGAATACGGACCCTGGACTTCAGAAAAGTGAACTTTGATTCCCTCAGGGAACTGATGGGATCCCCTAGGAGAATAACTTGAGGGGGAAAAGGAATCCAGGAGAGCTGGCTGTATTTTAAAGAATCCTTATTGAGATTGCAGGAACAAACCACCCCAATGTGTAGAAAGAATAGTAAATATGGCAGGCGACCAGCTTGGCTTAACAGTGAAATCCTTGCTGATCTTAAACACAAAAAAGAACCTTACAAGAAATGGAAGATGGGACAAATGACCAGGGAGGAGTATAAAAATATTGCTCAGGCATGCAGGAGTGAAGTCAGGAAGGCCAAATCACATTTGGAGTTGCAGCTAGCAAGGGATGTTAAGAGTAACAAGAAGGGTTTCTACAGGTATGTTAGCAACAAGAAGATGGTCAGGGAAAGTGTGGGCCCCTTACTGAATGAGGGAGGCAACCTAGTGACAGGGGATGTAGAAAAAGCTAATGTACTCAATGCTTTTTTTGCCACTGTCTTCACGAACAAGGTCAGGAGGAGGTGACCAGCCCTCTGTGGAGAAAGAAGTGGTTCAGGACTATTTAGAAAAGCTGGACGAGCACAAGTCCATGGGGCCGGATGCGCTGCATCCGAGGGTGCTAAAGGAGTTGGTGGATGTGATTGCAGAGGCATTGGCCATTATCTTTGAAAACTCATGGCGATCAGGCAAGCTCCTGGATGACTGGAAAAAGACTAATGTAGTGCCCCTCTTTAAAAAAGGGAAGAAGGAGGATCTGGGGAACTACAGGCCAGTCAGCCTCACCTCAGTCCCTGGAAAAATCATGGAGCAGGTGCTCAAGAAATCCATTTTGAAGCACTTTGAGGAGAGGAAAATGATCAGGAACAGTCAGCATGGATTCACCAAGGGCAAGTCATGCCTGACTAACCTAATTGCCTTCTATGAGGAGATAACTGGCTCTATGGATGAGGGGAAAGCAGTGGATATGTTATTCCTTGATTTTAGCAAAGCTTTTGATACGGTCTCCCACAGTATTCTTGCCAGCAAGTTAAAGAAGTATGGGCTGGATGAATGGACTGTAAGGTGGATAGAAAGCTGGCTAGATCATTGGGCTCAACAGGTAGTGATCAATGAATGGCTCCATGTCTAGTTGGCAGCCGATATCAAGCCGAGTGCCCCAAGGGTTGGTCCTGGGGCCAGTTTTGTTCAATATCTTCATTAATGATCTGGAGGATGGTGTGGACTGCACCCTCAGCAAGTTTGCAGAGGACACTAAACTGAGAGGACTGGTAGATACGCTGGAGGGTAGGGATAGGATACAGAGGGACCTAGACAAATTAGAGGATTGGGCCAAAAGAAATCTGATGAGGTTCAACAAGGACAAGTGCAGAGTCCTGCACTTAGGACGGAAGAATCCCATGCACTGCTACAGACTAGGGACCGAGTGGCTAAGCAGCAGTTCTGCAGAAAAGGACGTAGGGGTTACAGTGGATGAGAAGCTGGATATGAGTCAACAGTGTGCTCTTGTTGCCAAGAAGGCTAACGGCATTTTGGGCTGTATAAGTAGGGGCATTGCCAGCAGATCGAGGAACGTGATCGTTCCCCTTT